ATAAGATTTATATGTTCATTCAAATCATAGGTTAGAGGATAAAATTAGGAAAATAAATACAAGGCTAGCGTTAAATGACCGGCAATTAAGAATGCTCTAGTGGGGTCCACGCACTTTTAGTAATTATTTTCATACTGTAGGGCCGCCTTTGAAAGCTGCCTCTGAGTTCAGTAAGTTTTACATTTTATAGCGTAAGCCCGAAAGGCCAAGATAATTAAACCTTGAATGTAGGCAACTATATATATGGGGACTTTCTTTTTTTTTTAATATATACGAAATTTTAAATTTATTTACTCGATTTATCTAAATTACACAAGATGAGTTGATCTGATGGTAAGCACCCTTCACTTTCAACCAAGAGGTTGTGAGTTCGAGTCATCTCAAGAACAAGGTGGAGAGTTCTTGGAAGGAAGGATGCCGAGGGTCTATTGGAAACAGTCTCTCTATCCCAAGGTAGGGGTAAGGTCTGCGTACACACTACCATCCTCAGACCCCACTAGTGAAATTATATTGGGTTGTTGTTGTTGTTGTTTCAATTTACAAAATATAACTAAAGTCTTTTACAAATAATATACAAAATTCGGTAAAAATTTACAATTTATTTACAACTTAAACACAATTTTTTGTACAGAATTCTTCAAAAAATATAATTTTACATACAATTTATATATAACTTATATATTAGTGAAAATAATTAATTCATGTATGCTAGTATTAGTGTTTGGTGATTGTGATGATATAAAAAAAGAAATTAAGCAAAAGACTCTAGAGTCAACGAGTCCGCGCAGTGGCAGCGACTAACCAAATTATTGAAAAATCAAACGGCTTTTTCGTTTTCGCTATAATTTTCACTTTACGTTTACCTATAAATACATAAACTTCAAACTCCCAACAAGCCAAAATTCACATTTCTCAGTGTCCTCATTTTGAAGCCAAAACGAAGCAAATGACTTCCTCTCCCAATTATCCGCCCAGCACCAGTATCACCACGGTCACGGCGGAGAAAGGCGGCGCCACCGAATTTTCCGATTTTCATCCAGATATTATCGAAGCTCATATCCTCCATCGCCTTGACGGACCCACTCTAGCCGCTACGAGCTGCTCCTCCACCACCATCCACCACCTTTCCTCCGAAAACCACTTATGGTCACGTATATGCCACTCCACTTGGCCGTCCACCGCCACTCCACGTGTCAGTCACGTGATCTCCACCTTCCCTAACTGCGGTCATCGTACCTTCTTCGCTCAGTCCTTCTCCCTCCCTCTTTCCGATGATAAGCAAATTCACGATTTAGAGTCAGTGGATTTGAAGCGGGTGCTCCATGCTATATATATAAACCTTTATTACCTTTTCCATATATGTTCATATGATCCGAGTCGAAAACAGTGGATTCAGTTGAGCTCGTCTGTCTACATCCGAGAGATGAATTCAATTGCATCCTCTAATATTATAAACCGTTCGTCTCCTCCGCTTGAGTTAATCTCAGCCGTTGATATACACTACAAGGAGAAGGTAGTTTTCAGTAAAGTGCAAGAGACTGAAACCACGACGAGTTGGTTTCAGTGCTCGCCGTTTAGAATTGACATGATAGATCCAAAGGATGTGATTTTAACGACGATCAAACACCCGAATGATGATGACACGTGTACGGATTTGATTGAAGATATGACGCTGAGTTGGATTTTGATTGATCCAATCGGACGGCGAGCAATTAACCTCTCTTCTTTCAAGCCTGTTTCCGTGCAACGTCATTGGTTGACTGGGGAAGTGCAAGTGCGGTTTACTTCAATCCTGACCGCTGATCAGAAGAGAGGTCACGTGCAGTGCGAGATAGTGGCCACGTGCGGTGGATCTGAAGTAGGAGAGATGGAGGTGAGAGAAGTGAGTTTAGAGGTGGAGGACATGGATGGAACTCACTTGAATGGGAGGGAGAGTTTGGTAATTTTGCAAAGGGCATTGGAGGGTAAAAGGGGAAATGGAGCTAACAGGGCTGAAATAGGGAGGAAGAGGTATAAAGAATTCTTGGAAATGAGAAGGGAAAGGAAAGAGAGAAAGTTGAAGAGAGAAGGGGCATTGGATGTTTTGTGTGTGGCATTTGGTATATTCATTTTTGTGGCTTTTTGGTGTTTTCTTTTTTGTTTGGGTAGATAACAAATGTAAAAATAAAGAGAAGATAAAAATAAGTGAAAATGTAGAATGTAGTTGTTTCTTACTATTGTAGGCGATTTAGAAAGAAGAAGAAAAAAGGCAGAGGAGTATTACCTTCGTCATAATTGGGTACATAAAGTCTTGAGTCACATCAAAATTAAGAAGATTATCATATTGAAGTGTCATAATTAAAATGAATAAGAGAGTAGTTTATCTTTGATGGGGAAGATGTGTCGGTCAATTCACAAAGTGGTGTAGTAGTTTTAGTAACACTTCATTCGTTGCACCTCGGGGTGGCAAACGGGGGTCGAAAATGAATAATGTAAAAACTAATATATTATCCAATCTATTCATATTTAATACGGATAATCGGCGGATAATATGGATATTTATATTATCCATAACTTTTTGAATATTATCATTTTTTGGAGAATTTCTAGTCTCTCAAACTTAAGAAACCCCAATTTGAAATTTTACAAATGTAAAAGTTAAATCCATTAGTTATTCATTGATTATCAATTTTCTAATGAATAATATGGTTCTTATCTATATTGACTCGTTTTTAAAAAATTCATTATCCAACCCATTTTTTAATGAATAATATGGAGGAAAAGCCCAAAACCATACATGATCTTTGGCTTTAGACTCAAAGTCATACATATTCTTTCACATGGAGCACTAATAGTACATTTACTTTAACAAAGTGGTGCACTTTTAGTCATAATACTGAGAAAAAGCCAAAAAACATACATTATCTTTGGCTTTAGACTCAAAGTCATACATATTCTTCCACATGGAGCACTAATAGTCCATTTACTTTAACAAAGTGGTACACTTTTAGCCATAACACTAAACACACTTTAATTTTTAACAGAAATCTAAGATCTGACAAAATATTTGTTCCCTTTATTTTCTTGTTTACCGAAAGAAATAAAGATGACAGATTTATCTAGCTAGCAAATAGTAAATATACATAGAATTTATTTACTATTTATCTATTTACTATACGTAAAATATATATTTTACTAAAAAATATTAAACACCGTTAATTTTTATTTGCAATGATTTTTATCTAGATAACCTCAAATGTTATCTAGATTTTTTATTATATACATAATATTTACTATACGTTGACATAAAATAAATATACGTAAAATCATTGCTGAGAGTAAATAAATATTTACTATACGTTGACATAAAATAAATATATATTTGTTAGATTTTTTTATTTTAAGGGAGTCAACGTATAGTAAATATACATAAAATAAAAATAAATATTATTTTGTCAGATCTTAGATTTCTGTTAAAAATTAAAATGTGTTTATTGTTATGACTAAAAGTGCACCACTTTGTTAAAGTAAATGGACTATTAGTGCTCCATGTGGAAGAATATGTATGATTTTGAGTCTAAAGCCAAAGATAATGTATGTTTTTGGACTTTTTCTCAGTGTTATGACTAAAAGTGCACCACTTTGTTAAAGTAAATGGACTATTAGTGCTCCATGTGGAAGAATATGTATGATTTTGAGTCTAAAGCCAAAGATAATGTATGTTTTTGGACTTTTTCTCAGTGTTATGACTAAAAGTGTACCACTTTATTAAAGTAAATGTATTATTAGTGCTCCATGTGAAAGAATATATATGACTTTGAGTCTAAAGCCAAAGATCATATATAATTTTAGGCTTTTCCTCGAATAATATGAGTGGATAACTAGTTCACTTACGTCCACCAAGTAGAATGATTGTTTCCTCTCCTACACGAAACTTGTAAGTTGTAAATAGATGCCCTTTCAACTTTCTCTTTAAGTTAGAGAACATTATATTTCAGCCTTCACAAATTCACCAACCTACTGGAGTCAAAAGTAGGTTATTCGCTGTTTCGGAAACGTAACTAAAAGGATATAGATGAGGAGAGTAATAGCCTCTTTCGTCAACTTTCTCAAAAGGACTAAAGTACTTTTTTTTTTTTTGTCTCAAAAGCACTTTTTTCTTTTAACTTGAGGTGTTTGGTCTAAGCTTTTTTTGAGGAAAAAAATATTTTTGGGAAGAAGCAGAAGCAGTTTTTTAGAAGCAGAAAAAAATAGATTCTTCCCAAAAGCAGAAGCATAAGCAGTTTTGACTTTTCTTCTTACCAAAAATACCCTTAATAAAAAATAGTATATACCAAAATAACCGTTAAACCTAATACTTAAGATATTAATGTATAAATATTTCTTANAAGATTATTTATTTACTTATAGTATTAACTATTAAGTAAATCTATTCATGTCCTTATTCGTAATTTGATACTTAAAAGCACTTTCTGAAAAGTTTGACCAAACACAAATTATTACTCAAAAGTATTTTTCAGAGTGATTAGCCAAACACAAACTCCTTCTCTCCAAAAGTACTTTTTTCAAAAACACTTTTGAAAAAAGCAATTATCAAAATAAGTTAATTTCTCTGCCTCGGCCAAACAAGTTATAAGTTCCTTCAAAGGCTCTTTAATAGTTGACCTTTTGAGATTAAAAAAATGAATATGATAATATAATGCCAAAAAGGAAAGAAAAAAAATACTTTAAGAGAGACCACTGTACTGGAAAATTCTTACATGTAGTTATGTAGATATATGACAATAAATTGGATGGTAGGTCGGTGAAAAATTTAACTAGAAGTGAATTTTATTGGAGGTAAGGTCCTCGAGTGCTATTTGTACATCATTCCCCTTTACTATTTTAAAATTAAGAAAATTGTCTTTTTAAATCTTGTATATGTAAAAGACAGATCTCTTACGTGTAAAAGCAAATCTCTCATGTGTAAAAAAAAAAAAGAGATATGATCATAAAACTAACAAGTTTGCAAAGAGTCACAAAACCAATTGAGCCGGTGTTCGGAGCACATCTTGTAATAGTATATATAACATTTGACGTAGATAATGATAGAAGATTTTCATATTGAGCCAATCTTGCAGTCAGTCATTACAATTATCCTTGAAACACAACCAATTTTGACTGCACATGGCTTATATTTTCGTTGGGCAAGAGAGAAAACAAATTCTCTGCAGATTAATCATTTGCAAGAGCAAGGGTTGCAACTTTGGCAGCACACAGAGTGGTCTGTTTCATAACACAATTTGGCTGCAGCAACACTTAGTGTTCTGTTGGTGGTTCAGGGGGGCCTCTGGTTATCGGCATGCCGCCACCAAAATCGGCTTTAGGCTTTGCGTAGTCCACAAAAATAACCCGCCCATTAAGAGGCTGCAACATTCGTAAAGATGATGGATAAAGAACATCAAAAGTACGCATAAAAAATTCATAGAAGGATAATATGTACATACCTTGCCGTTCATTTCTTGCAAGGCCTTCTCGGCTTCATCTTCGGATGCATAGGTGACAAATCCAAAACCCTTGGATTTGTCTGAGACTCTATCCATCACAATTTTAGCTGTCAAATAAAACAAGGTTAAACTAAAGATGCTAACTCACGCTATATCTGAAAGAGAGTTCAACCTATGTTATTTAGTGCACCTTCGATAACTTGACCATGTTGAGAAAATGCCTCTGACAGTCCGTTCTCTGTGGTGTAAAATGAGAGTCCTGTACATAGCAATATCTCATAAGCTTGTTATGTTCGATAATGATTCTATATTTTTCATTTCTCTTTGCGTTGGTGGAGCAGTGACACCACATTGTTAAGTGAGCAAACCAATGGTTTTTCCTGTGTTTCTCGAAAATAATTAAGCATAAAATCATGAAACACGGAGAAAATACATGCTAAGCTCAAATACTGATAAAGGGAAAGCTTTGTGTGGAGTTTTCAAGCGCTAAGGTGCTGGGCTTCAGTTTAAAATAATGATCCTTTTCTTTTTTTCTTTTTTTTGATATAGTAGCTTAAAATTAAGTTCCTGATAGCTTCAGATAATTATTAGTAACATATTTTGACTATGTAGCAGATATAATCAAGATTTAACTTCGGATCAAAGCCTGATAGATTATTATTGTTTCAGTCTAATGAGTGAAGAATTGGAAAAGCTCCTAAGGGATATCAAGTTAATGAGAGATTATTTATATATTTTGTGCTAAAACGAGTAAACAAACTGCTAATATATACAGTAAGCTGCTCCATACAGATACAAAGCTTATGAAGGTTCATAGATAGCGTTCTTTATTCACCATGTCTAAAATGTCTAGAAAGTAACACTAGAGATTCTGTTTGTTGAGCTGTAGGTATAGCTGCATTGTGAAAGTTCATTCAGTTTGCCTAATAATAGATGGACTAAAACAGGATTATAATAAGTCAAATTGTAAGGGCAACCCGGTGCATTAAGCTCCCGCTATGCGCGGGGTCTGGGGAAGGGCCGGACCACAAGGGTCTATTGTAACAGGGGAAATTGTGGTACTAGGAATTAAAAAAAAAAAAGGTTTTTTGAATCTTCATTGTACAGCTTCTCAAGTATTGTTTATATTGTACTTTGGCGATATCAGAAAGAGACGGGTGGTTTGTCCTAATCTTCCCTTCAGTCCCTTTCACAACATCCTCCAACTATCAATCCCATTTTCTAGCTAAAGATAACTCTCTTCACTCATTCCTAGATGGATGGGAGCAAATTTAGCTTCATATTTGTTACTTCACTTTTTGTTTACACTTGAGGCAATAAACCAGGAACAAAAGCTAGACTTGTCAATCGAGTGGGTGATTTAATATTAGCTCCTACTTTCTGGTTCTTTTCTCCTCTTTTGAATGAACTCTCTTGTAACAATCAACATAGTTGATTGGGAAAGAGAATCTTTCTCCATAAAATGAATCCTCCTTCCTAAAAGGGATCATCTTATCTACCTCTTTGCGAGCATTTTGAAGCGGTTCAAAGATAGTACTATATTGACAATAATACCTGTAAATTCTTCAGTACTAAACTACAAATTTTTCATTGATCTTTAAGTTCCTTCAGCTTAGTGTTGACCTGTTTATTTCCTCACTAATGTCAAACCAATACCTTTAAAATCAGTAGATAACGGATAACCATAATTCCCTATGGGCACAAATAAGTCAACAAATCATCATTTGCATAAAACCCTTCTTTTACATCACTATAATTATGTTTTCTTCAAGAACAGACCTATTAACCCAAATTGCAGCGCGAAATAATTCCCAGAGTCCTAAGAAGCACAATAAACCCAAAAACATTAACAACTTTAACCAAAGAATTACCAATTCATTCCAATAATGAGCTTTTTCAGTGTGCAGATTATTAAATCAATTGAAGGGGAGTCTTGGCGTAACTAGTAAAGTTGTTGCCATGTGACCAGGAGGTCACGGGTTCAAGCCATGGAAACAGCCTATTGCAGAAATGCAGGATAAGACTGCGTACAATAGACCCTTGCGGTCTGGCCCTTCCCCGCTGCCTTTTTTATTATTAAATCAATTGTGTATACATGTACAAAAGGGAGAAAAAAGAAGGGGGGAGAAGAGGAAATAAGTAGCTCCAAGAAAGAGAAGACATACCTCCTCTTTTGACTGAACTATCTTGTCAGAATCAACATAGTTGTTTAGGAAGGAGAATCTTTCTCCATCAAAATGAATCCTCCTTCCTAAAAGGGATCATCTAATCGACCTCTTTGCAAGCATTTTGAAGTGGTTCAAAGATTGTGATTTCTTCTATAGTACTATATTAATAATAATAATAATAATAATAATAATAATAATAATAATAATAATAATAATACCTGTAATTTTTCAGTACTAAACTATAAATTGTTCATTGAATTTAAGTTCTTTCAGCACTAGTGTTCATTTCCTCACTAATGTCAAACCAAGACCTCTAAAATCAGTAAATAACTGATACACATAATCCCAATTAAGTTAATATATTATCATCTGCAGAAAACCCTTCTTTTACATCATTATAATTATGTTTTTCATGAACAGAACCATAAACCCAAATTACAGGGAAAATAGACTCAAAAGATATCATATTTAATCAAATAATTACAAATTCATTAAAAGAACGAGCTTTTTAATGTGTAAATCAGTCGTGTATACATACATACATGTATAAAAAAGGGAGAAAAAAGAGAGAAAAAGAAGGAACAAGTACCTCCAACAAAGAGCTTAGAAGCTACGCCTCTGTGAGAAAGGAAGATTGCAGAAGTTGATGGTAAAATACTTCTGTTTGTGGGCAATAATCTTCTAAATGCAGCCATGGCTTTGTTGTGTAAACAGTGGAGCGAGAGTAAGAGGAGTCTCAAACTCAAATTGAACGACGAGTTAGACCTTTGAAGCACAATAGGTGACGAAAGATCCACTGGGCATACCAGTTAATGGGCTTTGACTTTATGATTTTAGAGTTTGACATCAAGTTTTCCGTTTAGGGGCCTAAAATTGAAAAAGGAAACTACAGTTATATCCGGTTATAAATAGCTTATTACAAAAATTGGGATCAAAAGATACTTTCTTAAATTCAGTATTGTAAAAAATCATGAAGGCCCATAACTATAAAAATTGGGTAATTTATAAAATATTACTAATATTAGCTAAATACTACAAATATCAGCCAATTAGATATTTGTAGCCAAAAAAAAGGTCAAACTTTTTTTTTTTGAGTGGTGTTATTAGAATAGATTGAGTATATCTTAAGGATCTTCAATCTCAGTTAAGGGATGATTTGGTGGAGTTTTGAGGTGGTTTAAATTGAAAATTCGAAGTGGAAGATGAACATGAAAAAAAATATGTGCATCATTATGTGTATCATATTTGTATCAAATGTGTATCACGTGTATATCTAATGTATATCTGCGTGTGAGATACATGCGTGATACATATATCGCAGAAGAATTTTTTGAACTCGATTTTAACTACGAATTTTGATACCAAATTAGTCCAAATCTTACTCAAATTTTGTATATTGAGTTTTCTATATGTTTTCAATGAATTTCAACCATACTCGTTGATAAAGGTCCTTTTTTGCTTAGATTTTTGAAATCTTA